CTCTTCTTTTTTTTTTTTTTTTTTTTTTTTTTTTTTTTTTTTTTTTTTTTTGAGACAGGGTCTTGCTATGCAGTTCAGGCTGTCCATGAACTCATTATATAGCCTAGGTTGGTCTTAAATTCCAGACCACCCTCCTGCCTCAGCCTTCTGAGTGTTGGGATTACAGGGGTATTCCACCATATCTGGATTTCTTTCTATTTAAAGGGGAACTGATCATAACAATGTAAAGGAAAACCCAACTAAATATTAGCTCAAACAAGATTATGGTTGTGTAGCTTCTTTACTGATTTTTTAATTAGTTTTGGTAATGTAACCAAATACCCTGCAATCTTGAAGGGTGTGGTACCATGCATAATATGATTTTTAGAGAGAAAATGTCAATGGCTTTGGGAAAAGTAGAATGCTCACAATCATCACTCCATTTACATTTTCATCATCAAGGGTGAAACTTAGAGCTACAGGTGAGATTACAGGACTCAACCCATGAAAACACTGAGCCTGTATCCTCCATTAAGATGGGTAAATAACAGAAAATATGCAAATATATATGCCATATTTAAACACAACTCCATTGACTGTGGCCACAAATAATTTTTTTCTTTTTTTTTTCCCCCCTGGTACTAGGAATCGAACTCAGGACCTTGTGCTTGCAAGGCAGGTGTAGCACCACTGAGCTAAATTCCCAGACATAATTTTAATAAATTACTTACTTAAAAAACCACTAGACGATAAGCTTTAATAACAGAAGTGTAAAGGGAATCCTACTTCACATTGTTTCCTAGTCACTATTCCCCATAATAATAGCTGACAAATGAAGGCAAATTATCAATGATCTGTCGGATCTGGAGAGCAGAGTGGCAGTGAGGTGTGCAGACCCTTTCCTTCATGGATAACTAGTTTACTTCTGGAGAGTAGGGCGTTCCAGGGAACATTCTGCTCCAAAAGATGATTTTGTTTATCAAAACGGCAATCCCAAGAATTCGAAGCTGCCATTCCACTAACTGTGCTTTTAAAAACTCAAACCCTACGTGAGTAAAAAAAGAGAAACTATGGTAAATTTTAGATTGCTTCTTTCCTAAATAAATTCTTCAAATAATAGATTGTCTAAAACATTGAAATTATTCTCTCCTGTGTAAGTAAGTTCATCTGCATGTCTTTTTCTTTTCTTTTCTTTTCTTTTTTTGGTACAGGGATTGAACTCGGGACCTTGCGCTTGAGAGGCAGGCAGCAGCACCACTGAGCTAAGTCCTGGCCCTCTCTGTATGTCATTTGATGTCGCATTTTAATGATTCTTAAATGATCATTTGTTGAAGAAAATGAAGGTGAGAGTTATGAGATTTATAGGCAATGAAACAAGGTTTTTCAGTGTTAGAGTCGTTTTATCCCATTGCAGCTACTTTGGTGAACCCGAGAATTAGAGATCACCCCCTCAAGTTGGACCTTGGAGGGAATCATCCTGGGAAGCAGAATTCAGCGCCTTTATTTTTTCCTGCTCTAACCTTCTGCTTTGTTTTGTTTCTATATCAGAGATAAAATGATTCCTTTTGTGCTCATTAAAATGCAAATATTTCAGAAAAAAATAACTCGGAGAAATAAAAATGTCATTTTCCCTCTCTAACTGGAATAAATATAATTTCAAGCCAAGAAATTAAAAATAATAATAGATTTATCACTGAGCAAGATGCATAGGACAAATTTAGTTGGTTCTGTAATGTAATCAATAAAGTTCTAAATTTTTTCTGAGCTACTTTCTGCATAAGTTAAGATGTGGCAATGTGTAATTATGTTTTTGTTTTTTGTTTTCTATTTTTTTGTTTTGTTTTGTTTTTTGAGACAGGGTCTCACTATGTAGTTGAGACTGAACAGGAACTCACTATGTAGCCCAGGTTGGTCTCGAACTCACAGCGATCCTCCTGCTTCAGCCTCCCGAGTGCTGGGATTACAGGCATGTGCCACCACGTCAGGCTTGTAATTATGTTTCTTGAAACTGTATTCTATGGACACATAATTTTGTGATTTGCAACAATTCTCTGAGCATTTGGGCCAATAACATGAAGCTATCTTTCATTAAAACCAATTAACATATTATACCTTTATTTCATTATACTGTCCCTTTTCTAAATTTCTTCCCTTTGGTTTTACTGTACATGTGGTTTCTCATTTTGGGGCATGGCTAAGAATTTATGTCAAGGACTGTTCATTGTGTTCTAGGTAAAAAATATTCCTTGATGTTCTAGAATCTCCAGCAGTTTAAGAAACAGTTTTAAGAAACTCAGTCACGTGCCACTCAATCTATGTTAAGTACTGGACATTGAGAAGATAAAATCTTTGCTCGTCTTTCAACATTTACATTTTCAAGGTTCTCAGTGCAGATAAATAAAACATGCTTTCTCATGGGGGAAGAAAGAAAAGAGTACAAATGCAAGACTCTGTGATCAACTGGGCACGTGAGATGGACAGTTAATACATACAGCACCATTCTAGGTACAGTGGGAGCATCGTAGCAACCACTGTAGGTCAAAGAGACTGATGTAGAAATATGGTCACTGCAGAGATACTTCTCAAAATGATCGCCTCATTGAAAATAGATGAACATGATCAGCAAATATCTGTGAAAAAGAAAACTATAAAAATTGACATTTTTTGGAGAAAAGAAGCAGGGCTCATGGATCAGCCTCTCTAAGCTTGGAGATCACTTCTGATGCTACAACAATACTTGTCTCGTGTCCTTAAAAAAACCATCCAAAATGGTGCTTCTTGTATAAAGGGTTCATCAATTAGGCCCTAGAAAGAGAGGCAGCTGCTGATGAGCAGGTGATGCGCTGGGTCCCTACACTTCAGCTGTGACAAGCACTGGGTTGTTTTCCTTTCACATCAACGTCATTTCAGTTTAACAGAAGGAAAGCCATAGGTATACAATACTGTAATCTGGAAGCTCATGTAAGGCAGCAAAAAGCATCACCCTAGAATGGATAGATTAGGTAAGGTTCACTTTTGGCTACACTAGCAACCGGCTAGAGCCCACAGCATTTTGCCATACAAGATATAAAAACACAGATCCACAGCAAGGGAAGCAAGTGAGAAGGGAAGTGGCAGTGTGTGTGTGTGTGTGTGTGTGTGTCTGTGTGCGTGTGTGTCCGCATTACCAGAGCACACTACAAAATGAAACCCCCGGTGCCAATCGTTCAATTCCAGTCAAGTACATTAAGGCTACTAGAGAACTGGTTGATATGAAGAGTCCATTCCAATCAAGAAGTAAGGAACTGATTCACTCTTGAAGACACAAGGAAAAGTTTAGAGGAAAAGCAAGTTCTTGGAAAAAAATGAATCACACACATGCACGTTGTTTCTTGGGTGAGGAAAAGGAAAAAAAAAAAAAAAGAGAGAGACCAAAGCAATCCAACTGCAAGGCAAGCAGGTGTTTGCTTCCAGTTCACAGTATTGCAGTTAGTGGTAGAGTGAGGTCTAAAGAAGCGCTGGAGAGTAGAAAGGCTGCCCAGAAGAAAAGGGAGGAAAGAAGTGGTCACATGACAACACAGCATTGACAGCGCTTTTTCTTTTGAGTACCTGGGGCTGGCTCCGTGGCCAGGCTCTCTTCCTTCCCTTCTGGGGATGAGGGTTCTGTGGTATCCGAGACCGGCCTCCCAGACACAAGCTCAGCTGCGTTTCCATCAATGGTGGACACATCTGTCACTGTCTTCTCTCTTAGTGACTTCTCATCGTCTTCATCAATGAGGACCAATTCAGCCTTGATGGTTTCATCATAGCCTAGCACCTTTTTAGTCTCCTCTTCATCCTCAATATTTTGGTAGCCCATAAAGATCATGGTGACTGGCTGATCTGAGTTTGCCTCTGGCTCTTCTGTGCTGGGGGCTTGGGTGTGTTGCCCTGGGTTCCCAGAAGCATGATCTTTCCTAGACTTATGCACCATTTCTAACTTGGCTTCTTTGCAGAGCATGTGTTCTTTAGGGTGGCCAAGGCTTCCATCAGCAACCACAGTCCTCTCTGACAGGTGCCCTCCTTTGAAGCTTGATTGTCCCGCCTTCTGAATGAGCTCTTCAACATCCTTTGCACTTAATTTGTGCACTCCATTTTCTACTATGGTGCCTCCCGAGTGCACCTCATACACTACTTTGGTACCATCGTCATAGACTTTGACTCCTCTCTGATGGACCCCCTCTGGGCCAATGGTAGATGCAGAGAGAATCTTGGTCTCTCCTGTTTGTTTGTCTTTCTCCACATTAATTTCCATGGCGTACACAGCTTGAATGAAAACAAGAGAAAGGAAGTGCATGTTACAACAAAAAAAGCCAGTGAATGGTTAATTGCCAAACAGACAAAAAAAAGAAGGTTTTGTGCCCTTTCTATTCTAACCACCAAGTATCCTGAGTGTTAGAGTGAGGTGCACGTGTGGACAAAGATGGTTATATATGTATTTTATAGCATCTTAATGCACTGGGAAGACAGATGACACAGTCACTACATCTCAATGGCACTCGTACTTTTAAGAAAGACCTGATAAAATAAGGCCATGAAAGACTTCCAGTGTAGGCAGAAAGAATTACAGGAAAGTTGGCAACATGCAAATGTACCTTGATCGAGGGCATCTTAGACCTTTAGACATAGTTGTGTCTCAGTTTCAAAATCTGAAATGTTTTTTCTGACTCTTTCATCAAGTGTTCTATTTTTCCATGTTTCCTTGTATTATTAATGGAGAGGGTGTCAAGGGTTTTGCAGATGAGACATGACTATTCTCTACTATACTATACAATTGCATATTTGCAAAAAGTGAAAAGTATGAAAGCATCCATGCTCTGGGGTTACTCCACTGGCTTCGTTAGGTTTCTCCAACAAGAACTAGGAAAAGAACAAGACTGAAAGCCAGACATGGTGGTGTAAACTTGTAAACCAGCAGTTAGGAGCTGAGGCAGGAAGACTGCAAGTTATAGCAGTACCTGGACAACTTAGCCTGTCTTAAAATAAAAAGTGATTGAGTGTAGCTCAGTGTGATGCCCTGGGTTCAATCTCCAGTATCTTAAAAAACAAAACAAAGCAACAGAAGCAACAGCTTCCTATGACACTGGAACCTGAGGATGATGTCTCGGCTTCTTTCTTTTATCTACACAATGCCAAGTCTCATGATTCTGTCCCATGATATCTTTACCATCTGTTGTCTTCTTTCTGTTCCACTGTCACTACCCAGTAAGAGGCCCCCTGTTTCCAGATTTCTTCTAGATTACAAGATCAGCTTCCTTCCTATTGGAGACTGAGTCCCCTAGTCTCATTCTCTCCAGTCCATCCCTAATTCTGCTATCAGTCAAGTGTTACAAAGACTAGCTCTTTCCTGTCCTGTGGATTCCTGGGACATTTCACACTTACAAGCTTGTTCTCTCATAGCTTCCTAGTGGTGTACAAATTCCAGATAGGAATGAACAGGGTACCAGACCCAGAGAGCCACCAGACACATCAGATTCACCAAAGCCGATTCTACTTCTCTCAAAACCCTTCCATGGCCTTGGTGTTAAACAACACCCACAACATTACCTACTCTCCCAAGCCAGAGGCCCAGGATCACACCTGATTTTTTTGCCTCTTCTTCCTAACTTCTCACCCAAACCACCCCTGAGAGGAAGTAATGCTGCTTTAGATAGTCTTATCCATCTCTTTTCCACCATCTCTACCATCACTGCCCTGGCCAGACTTCTGCTCAACACAAATCCCTTATTTCAGGTTTTACTCGATCCTTCTCTTTTTCCCCTCTAGTCTTGGGGACTGCAAAAAAAGAGCCAAAAGCAGTCTGGAGCCTGATTCTGCGAGGCCAAAGGAGGAAGAATGGGAACTTATCTTTAAAATATTGTTAAAAAAAAAAGAAAGAAAGAAGAGAAAGGAAAAGAGGATGGCAGGGAAGGGAAAGGAAAAGGAAAAAATAGGAAGCATATGTATCAGAGATTATAGATGGCCCACAGAGTCGACAATGTTTCCAGGCCGGCCATTTCTAGAAAGTGTGCTGAGCCCGGCTAGCCTGTATTCCAGCCTGCCCACTGTTACTCGACTCAGGTTAACTGCTCACTCTTCCTGCATAGGGTAAACACCACACTCCTTGGCTTGGCATGCATTTCCCTTTGCAATCTGTCTTCCTTTCCAGCCTTGTCGCCCAGTCCTTCTTGTTCTCCATACACCCTGGCCACGACAGGCTTCTCACTATTCCCAAAGCACTGCTCAGCATCCTCCCAGGCCTGCTGCCCTGGCCAACTTTTAGAGTCCAGTACCATATCACTATTGAACTCCCTGCCGCTTTCTGAATATCTACAAGATCGCTGACCTGAAAAGGAGATCTGTCAGCCATATGTTCTGTCACTCCTTTTCCTTCAAGTACAACCAAATAGCACCATCCCGTATCGAAACGCGATGCCCTTCTCAAATGCCCATCTTCTGACTTTCTGCACGTCTAAGTACAACTCATTCACCAGTACCAAAACCCACTGCGCCCTTCCCAGAAATTTTCTTTGATCTTCCCATTTCTAAGTCATCTTTCTCTCTTTAAGAATTTCTGTACACTTCTACACTTCTTTGAGAGCACTTAGTTTTCACCTACTAGTATAATTATTTGTAGTATAACGGTTTATCAGCTTCATAGATTTTTAAGGTCCTTGAGGGTTAGGTTTTTACCTCTGCCATCCAGGATTCTCTCTTCCTACCAGAATCTACCATAGATGTACCTTAGGTACAGAAGGTACCTGATATACACTCCCATGAAACAAACATTATTGACTGAAGAGTTTAATTTGATTGTCTAAACATAGTCACAAGTGCTTTGTATAATATGCCACCAAGGAAAAGGTACATACGGTAATTAATGTTTGAACTGGTTTAAAAAACAGCAATGATTCTGTCCCATTTGCTGGCATAATAAGATACAATCTGTTCACGGTTAACACTTAACTAAAAAGATTATGAAGCAAAATCCACTGCTTGGTATTCACAACATCCATTTTGAAGGTTTCACTTGTTCTGCATAAAAATATTGAGTTTCCTCAAATGACACAATAGGAGGCCAAAGAATATTTGTCACAGAGATGCACGGGCTCACACACAAAGACTATAATATCAAAATAAGTATTTATCTCGATTATTTGCTGATTTTCCACACAATGTGTCATCAGAGAACAGGAGAGGTATTTAATATTCTCATGGACTCCAAAAGCCAATTCTTGAAATAATTACAGTTACGATAAAAAGCACAATTTTGGGTTAAAATATCATATCACTGTTAGCATGCTCATGGGATATATTTATAAATAATAGAAACAATAAAGAACATCAGTTTATAGGAATATCAAATTATCCTCCAAATATCCAGTGATGTGTGCACAAAATGACACATTAACCTGTAATCAATATATAAAGCAAACAAATTATTTCTGAAATATATCCCTTGTGATAAGACACAAAGGGTTAACATGTAAATGTTTAGAGCTGTCCCTTTTCCTCTTCCCACCAATGAGTGCACTGTCATCGTTGGTCCAATTTTCCCTTCTCCACCACCCTAATCCTGACCTCCTGTCATCTTTGCTTGTTGCTAGAATCAGAAACTGGATGGAATAAAGAGACCATGAAGAGTTCTTTGCTGAAAAGGGTAGATGACCATAACATAGAGAGTTGCGAAAGAAGGTTAGCAGGAGAGAATCAAAGTCGTATGGACTATGGAGAGAGAGGGAGTCCTCTGTGGTGGCGAGTGATGCTTTGGAGAGAGAGATGTGGAGGAAAGAAAAGGGAATCAGAACTACTGCTGAGTGGAGATGAGAAATACAAAAGGTGCCTAAACACTTTCCATCAGGAAATTTTCCCAATAGGAAAATAACTGTTTCCTTCCTGGTAGCTTTTTGGTCTGCAATTTTAAACTGTATGTATGACATGGGTCCATTAGGATTGCATAAATGTATTTATAGTCACATGTTGGACATGATTCTTCCAATATTGTAAGCATTTTAACAAACTTTTATATTAAATTTAGATATGCTATACTACAAAATCCAATATTCATGTACCAACCACCACCACCACCACCACCCCTGTCAATGCCAATAAAACACCAGACTTCAATGGAATCACAAATTTTTAGTGAGAATTCCTTTCTGCATTTACTTTTTTCTAGTACGGGGTAATCAGGGGAACCGCTTGAAAAGCTCTGACTTAAACCAAAGATGGCATTTAGTCCTCCTAGATAATAACATGAGAATGTTTTTTAGACATTCAGAAAACTAAGCAGGGGGTGTGAATGTTTGTCTTAATTGTGCTCTTGATGAGTAAGCATTTATATTTTGCTTTAGTTCTCAGATAACAATGTACCAAACTGTGAATCAAGGTGGGTATGAACCAGGAAGATAAAAAGACTCCAGTTTTAAATTAACATTTTAATTTTTTTCCATTTTTGGTGTTTTGCTTTCTCCCCACCCCCTTTTTTTCTTTATTGGTATATTTTAGGTGTACAATACAGTTACATTCATCATTGCAATCTTGTACCTTGGTTCTTTTTTTTTTTTTTTTGAGACAGGGTCTCACTATGTAACTGAGCCTGACCTGGAACTCACTATGTAGCCCAGGCTGGTTTTGAACTCACAGCAATCCTCCTGCCTCAGCCTCCCAGAGTGCTGGGATTACAGGCATGTGCCACCACACTCAGCTATAGCTTGGTCCTTATTTTTTCCCCATTTCCTTGCCCTCCCTTCACCCCCTCCACCTTTCCCTATTTACAGAGACTTTGTTATCTTTCTTTTTTGATGTTTGGGATAGAACTCAGGGCCTCACACTTGTGCTCCGTCACTGAGTTACGTCTCCAGCCTAAACAACATTTTATTTTTAATGCACATGACTTTCAAACCTCTTGCACTTTCCCCTGCTCCCAAGCAGTTTATAGCAAAAGCCTCTCCCTCCTAGTGTACCTTTACCCCTAACCACCGGGGCACTCTTCAGTCTGCCCAGAGGCTCCTTCTGTTTCCCTGCACTCTCAGCGTCTGCAATCTGTGCAGTGAGAAGGGTCAAAAGGGCCTGGTGCCGCCATTCTTGTGTTATGAAAAAATGAGCAGGCGCACTGTTGAGGGGAGAGGGCCTTCTGGGGAGATTCTGAAACAACGAAAGAACCCCATGGACACAAGGAAAAATGTTTGAAGAAAAGCACTCCAAAATTTTCTGGAAGGGCTCAGAGAAGGGGACAAAGGATGTAAGACAATTCAGTGAGAGTCTCACTCCCTGATAGGCTAACT